ACTCATCAATATGTGCCTAACAGTTTTCATGAACAAGTAAAGGAGGATCATAAGCTCAAAGTCAGCTCAGGCTATGTAGCAAGTTCAAGGCCAGCCTTGGCAATTTAGTGAAACTCTGTTTCAAAACAAATACATAGAGCTGTCTGTGGATGCAGCTCCACCGGAGCGAGCTTGTGAAGACTGGGTAAGATGCTGGGCTCTACCACTGCTACAAATGAGAAAGTTTGTTTCTCATGTTCAATTTATAGCGTTTTTGGATGGGGGAAGCAATCTGGAGTGTAGGTTTTAAAAGCCCTTATGTCACATCGGCAGCACGTCTATTTGTCTCGGAAGAAGTCTCCTGTAAGTATGTGTTGAGAGCCCTTCAAAATCTTGACTTGATTGCAGGTGGCAGATAAAAGCAGGGACCTCTCTGGGATGGAAACCCAATCATTTAAGAATGAGGGTCCATGGGGTGCGATATTTAACTGACAGCGGGAAGGCTGGTCAGACTGTGGTCTATTTTGAAGTCTTTTCTAATATTATTCTGTTTATTTCATCTATTAAGTAATTTTTTGTTTATGAGTCGTGTGTTAAATCCTAACATATATTTATAAGAACATGTCAGGCTAGTGGGAAAGATAGGGTGTCTACAGCAAGTGCCAAAAAGGAAAGTGGATGGCCTTTGTAAGCCCAATGTTGCAGGGACAGAAGGGGCTCATGGCTGACCTGGGAAGCCTGGACCAAAGATCATCATCTTGGACCTGAGTGGGATGATGTAGGGAGGGGAAGCATCACTTAAGAAAGGTGCCAAGTGCTCTGAAGGAACTGCTTGTCCACATGAAGCATAGATATTTCATGCTTCAGCATACATCGAGTGTGGGCTGTCTGCTTCCCACAGTAAGCTCCTTTTCCGGCTCCCACCCTCCATTTCCTTATCTCCTATGATCCCATTAGATAATTGCCTTGGGAGTATGCAGGGAGTGCTGACTACCTAGCACAGGACCGGGAGTAAGTACCAACTGGTTATACTTTACCCTGGCTCTGCCTTCCCTCTGTAAGCTTTCTTGCTAGTCTGGCATCCCACTGGGAACTTTCCATTCCTGAAATTTGACATGCTTACTGCCTGTGGTTAAGTAAGGCCCCGGTGATGGTTCATGTTGTGTAAAGCATTGCTTTGTCTATTTAACTAGAGTGTGTATGAATTACGTAACTTAGACAGGCTCCCTGGCTCAGTATGTATCACACACATCTTTTTGCTCAAAAACCAAGCATATTTTATAAAAACTTCGGGAAATATTTGAATAATAAAACTTCGATAAAGAACAGAGATAATGTAGAAATGATCTTTAATTCTACAGAGCTTCTTGTCCAGCTCAGCCAGTGCTGAGTGCTAAGTACTCCTTCTTAGATGAATCCAGAAGTGCAAAATGGTGGTTAGAAGGTAATATCTCAGTGGCTGTGAAGGTTATTGTTCTGAGGATGGCCCATCATCTCGGGGACAGTCCCACTCTGGAGTGATCCCCTTCCTCAGAGCAATGCTCTTGGGTCTCATGAGTAGCCTGACAGGGTTCTCTGTTCTTCCTGCCTCCAAGCACAGCACCATCCAATGGCTGCTCTCGCTGAAAGTCGTCTTATAACTTTGAGAATGGAAGTTAATTGTCAATCAGTAGAATATTCAAGAAAGGCACAGATAGCTTATTTATGTCTTGTTCTTTATTCTTTTTTTGATTTAATTTAAAATAGCATTTACTTTTGCTGAAGAATAGACTTAAAATCTAAATAACGGACTCTGAGTGCATCCAGATTATGTCATTGGTTATTGTGCAACAAGTTGCCTCAAAAGTATGATGGACTGACTGGCATTGATTGACATGTAGGTGATTACCAGAGAGAAACAGAGTCTGCACCAGCAGTAGCCTCTCACTAGGCCTACAGCATGGGCAGTGGATGGGATCCCTTACCTATGAAAGAGCGTGTATTTACATCTCCAGAATAAACTATTTCTTCTGCTGCAGAACACAGTCCTTCTGCTTCTTTCTTCCCTATGGGATTGAGAGACCCTCTCGTCACCCTGCAGATATGGGTGGTGGCATTGAAGTCGCACCGGCCACAGTGTGCTGTGACTTTCATGGTTGCTGGGCAGACAGTCGCACATACGCTGGTTTCCTGTTTGGGAAAGGGACAGGAGGGTTTGTGAACTTTCTTTAGCCATGTAGAATGTATTTTTGTATCACTTAGATGAAATCCTTTACCCCTTGTGATAAACGAACAGTTTAAAACACATAATAGAAAAGAGGTTGCATATCAGAAGGAGCAGAGACTCAGGAAGGATGTGTCTTTCTACTTCTGGGGACTCGGGCATTATGTACTATCGAAGAGTTTTCTGCATGAGTACATGAATTGGAAACTAAATTCATCAGGACGTCTTGGTCTATGAATCAAATGACCTGACATCTAAGATGGCCCTGAGCTCAGAGCATACAGGACAAACAAGAATTGCAGGTTTTGATGTGAACTTTGACATTTTCATGTGGTATATAGGAAAAAAAAAATATAGGATGAAATTTGTGAGAATCGGCACTTCTGTGCTGTAAGAAAAATTGACCCTGGGCCCAGCAAGTCTGCTCAGTGCGTAAAGGCTCCTGATGCCAAATCAAAGACCTAAGTTCAATCCCTGGGCCCCGTGTAGTAAGAGAGAACCAACTCTGTAAAGCTGTTCTCTGACTTCTCCATGGTACAAAGATGTCCCTGACCTCAAGACACAAATAAATAAATGTGGTAAAAAAAAATTAAAAAGGCAAGTTAGACCCTCAATACATAGTTTTAGAACAGCAGAGTGTTATATATTGTCACTATAATTATTTACACTTGTTAATCTTTTCTCTGAGGAACCTCTAGGTTCTTTATACTTACCAGTGAATGTTCTAATCTGAGGAAATTAAGTGCTTAATCATTTTAAATTATAGGAGCCATAAAGAAGGCAATAGTTATATGACACAGATCCACACTGCATTCCTGCATATAAGTAATAAATGGGTTTTAAACACTTTTCATATTAAAATTTGATTTCTCTTCTCTCTTTCATGAAAGGTTAAATTATTCTCTCCAAGTTCATCAAAATAATATTTCTTCAGAAAAACATGGTGGCAATCCCATTAAAAAGGGATAGTAAGTACATGTTTATCATTTTCTCTCTTTGAAGCCTATCCAAAGGACAGTAAACAATCAGATTACAAGTAGGAAAAAAAAGGAAGTCTAAGGAAACAGGCAGGGGAGCAACACACAGGGCATTCCACTATTTGTCAACTTTGGAAAGCGGCTGTCTGGAGCAGAGGCGGGAGCTGAGCTGGCCAGAGACAATTCTTCCTTTCCCCCTGAGACCCGCTACTTCTTCCTTATCTCTGAAGACACCAATCTCCAAGGTGTAATAGCAGAGGCCAAGAGTCTTTGATTTTCCCTTCCCACTGTGATCTCTAGGATGTTTGAGAGGTGCCAGGAGGTGACACTGCTTTCTAAGATGCTACTTAGAAAAAAAGCTTTCTGGTTAATACTAGATGTGATATGAAAATTTCTAATCAACCAACCAACCAACCAACCAACCAACCAACCAACCAACCAATCAACCAAACCAATAAACCAAACCAAACCAAACCAAACCAAACCAAACCAAACCAAATTAAACAAAATACAGCAGCTGAAAGGACAGATCTGAAGCATTTCTACCATACCCCTACTCACGGAAACTTAAAAACAGAAAGAAACTGGTATTCTTGTGAAGTTACACATATACTAAATTGTTTGGTGATCACTTTCTAATGTACACATTTAAGTTATGCTACATAGTATATACACACACTCTCTCACACACACACACATAGCAAGTAAATAAAGCTGAAAATTACATTCTACTGAACTATCACCTATATGAACTCTTTTACTTCAGCATAATCTGTTTAAGCAACAAAACTCTAAACTGTGTGATTGGCTTAGTATGTAAGCAGGATTGATAGATAGCAGAGGGGCACGTGTCTGGGGGATCTCTGGCACGGCATGAAAAATTAGAAAACTTACCCTGGATGGCTCCAGGAGTGGTTGGCTCCAGGGGTGGGTCCTAAAACACGGTTTCAGTGCTCTGTGTGTGTGTGTGTGTGTGTGTGGCTACTGGCTGAAGCTGGTAGTGCATGCCAGAATGAGACTAGCTGAAGAAGAGCCAATGAGACTGAGAGGGGCAGAGAGGGCACACGGGTCAGGACCCAGGTTTAAAATAGCGAAAGGGGAAATGGAAGGTAAACCTGCAGAGTCTGGAGCAGGAGCTCTCCTGTGGCTTCTTACACAGTTGGCAGCTAGGATAATGCACTCCCAAGCTGGCCTAGAGTCCTAGGATACGTGTTACTGTTCTCAATCACCTGACTTCCTGGCAAACAAGCTCCCTGCCAGGTGACTACCCTGCCGTGCTTCCCACTGATAGACGGACCACGACCATGCACAGCAAGTCCTCAGATAGCCTCCGATGAAGGAAGCAATTATAAAACATTAAAGATAGATGGACTTAGGGCAAGCAAGACTAGACCAAAGAAAGAAGGGCCAAAGCTATGCCAAATAAACTCATGATGCTGTTTAAAAATAAAGCAAACCAACAAAAAAGAACCTTATCAGTACCATCAAAATCACAAACATAGTCTCTCCAACCCAAAAAGCCCCTTAAAACAAAATGGTTCTCATTAAAAAAAAATAATGGAAAAGTCATAAACATAAATTGAAAGCAACACCTCATTGAGGTAACTAAGGAATCCATCAGCGGATGAGAAGAGCTAGAAGAAAATACTAACTGATTCAAAGAGACCAGGACCAGCTAAGAGGTGGAAACAGACGAAAGTAACAGTAAACCATCAAACCGATTATGAAACTACACTCCCCAGAAGGGAAGGTAGTGAACTCCAGGATAAAATGGTTCCTTCCCCTACATCATTGTAAGCTGGGGATGCAGCTTACTGATAGAGGAAATGCTTGTCTGCATGTGGAAGGCTGTGTGCCCCACCTCCAGTGCTTCAGAGACTACCAGACTTCTGGTGCATTATAGTGAGTCCACAGAGAGGCTTGCTTTCATGAAGTTAGACAATGAGAACAGGTCTCACGTGAGGAAACGGAGATGCATACTGCTACTCAGCTCACCCTCTCTGCCCATCCCATAGAACAGTGCTGCCCACCCTCCTACACACAGACCCCCACCCCCGAGGTGAGTGTTACGTCTTCAGTCATTTCCTCTAGAAAACACACCCACAGACACACTCAGAGGTGTGATTCTTGGTAATTCTAAATCACAGGAGGTTGATGGTTGAGGTGATGCATCAGGGTTGGCAGCTACAGCACCCAGGACTGTAAATGGCACTATGCGGGGGGCTGGGGAGGACAGTGCTCCTGAGAGCATACACCTCCAGCCTTCGGCTCATCTGAAGTGCTGGGTAAAGCTTCCCCGAGAACAGCTAATCATTAGGAATTCCTTTAGAATTCATTGTGCTAGCATCAATCATGACAAACTCATTCTGTATTAATATGGATAGAATGCAAAAATGAATAATGCACACATGAGTTTTTATATTCCTATTTTAGAAAAAATAGTTATGAACAACGTGTTTCTCTTTCCATCGCCAGAGCAGCACCTCCGAGAGAGCCGTTCTATCAGTTACCTTCATCGCCATTCCAGCTGAAATCTCATCAGAACAAACATATTTCAAAGGATTATATCCAACCCCGCCGCAGCATCGCTGGCTCTCTGGAATAAGTTCAGTGCCGCAGCATTTCACTGGCACGGGGTCATCCTTTCTAACGTGCGCTTTAGACTCTCCACTGGAAGCTGAACAGCATATGGTATCTGACATATTCACATAATCCTGCCCACAACACAGCATTCCTGCAACAATAAAATGTTATATATGAATATCAAATAAAAAAGGGGGGAAGAAAACTGAGGCAGCCATAAAGCTTGGTATAAAAACGTCAGAGTTGGGCAGTTTCAGTGAAGGAGCCACCGTAAAGGTAACATTTCCCCACCGAGGTGATTTAGATGTGCAATGAGGGTCGTTCTTACCAAGAGCACCAGGCACTCATTAGGAAATGAACACACTAGAGGAAGTGTTTGGAAGTCATTCGGCTGGGCCTGACTCTGCCCACACTCCATTAAAAAAAAAAAAAAAAAGGTCGGATTTCTGTCAAAACTGCCTGTCCCTTTTGTGATGATAACATCATGCTGCACAAGTAGGTTAGCTAGACTAAAGGATCCTACAGAGAAACCTCTAGAAATTCACAAGGGACACGGGAAATGTAGTGACAGCCCAGCTGAGCAAATCTTGGTCAGGGCTGCCCGTCTTTGTCTGGGGTGTCACATTTGCCTCTTGTGCTCTCGTGTGAAGTCTGAAACAGCCATAGTCTTCCTTTCTCTCAGAATTAGACTGGGTATGTGCAACCAGGTCATGGATATGGCTCAGTTGGCGGAGTGCTTGCCTATATTTGCTCTCCAGTCTGCATCACGGAAACCGGATGGTGGTACACTCTTGTGATGCCGACATTAAGGAGGTCCTGGGGTACATGAGACCATGTCTAACAAGACAACAATGACTAATCCAGACTTCCACAGCTATCCCTCTAATAGTGCAGAGCAGTTAAGAAGATAGTGAGTGACCGCACTGTGTGACCACACTGTGCGTGTTAAGATGTGAGTGTTAAGAGGCCATAGAATGCTCGGTTCCATAAACATGGTTCCATGTTTATGGAACATGCACCCTATTGTTCTCCTTCCGGCGCTCAGCGACCACTGTGGAATGAGGGTGAGAAAGATCGTGAGGGGCTGTGGTTGCCGACAAGCAAACAGCAGGGCAGTGAGCCACAGTGATTACTACTTTTGATGTCATACATCGTCTCCGTGCAAGCCCAAGTCACCCCAAATCCCAGGATGGAGTGAGAAGTTGTCAGGAAGGCTCTCCACTGCTGAGGAGGTAACAGAATTTGTCAGTGCTGGTCAGCTCTGTTCTAAGAGTGTGACCCCTGGTGAGACGATCCCTCTCCAGTGGAAGGCCAGGCATCCAAGAATACACTTAGGGGGAAGGAACTGGCTTTGATGGATTTAAGAAGATAAAAAAGAACACACAATTGGGTGGGTAGGGAGAGCTGCAAGAATTTGGGTGAGGGGTTGAACATAATCAGAACCATTGTGCAAAATTCTCAACCAACTAAAGCACACCACATACCATACACACACATACACACACACACACACACATACACACACACACACACACACACACACACATTCTTACCCTCATATGAAACCATACACACACATATAAAACCATACCTCATACACACATAAAACCATACATCATACACACCACCCCACATGTACCACAATACCATCCCCCTATACTACACATACCACACCACAGCACACATATCACACCACACACACCACACATAGAACACCACACACACACACACACACACACCACCCCATAACCTCCTCTCAAACATCACACACTGCACCACATCACACACAGACACACACACACACTACATCCCCTACACACATCACATACCATCCCCCCACCCTCTACCACACACCAATACATACACCACACACACACACACACACACACACACATCACAAAGATGTACACATTCACAAACACACCACACACACACACACACTTCAAACAAACTAGTAGAATGTGTTTGTGGTCACAGAAAAGCACCAGAATGGCAGCCAGGCTCTATTTTTCTGATTCTTTCTCAGCTCTGTCAGATGACATGGTTGTCAGGCTGGGGAAAGTGGCCTTACGGGAAGAATCACTGACTCTCCTACCTGAAGGGAGACATGTACACCTGAAGGACCGACAGACTTCTCTACTACTGACCAAATGCCTGTTATTTATCGTCACGGAAGAAACCTAGCATACATTTAGACATAAAGGCACCAGTTAAATAAACAGCACTCAGGGGTTGGATTATGCAGGAAATGGGGGCGCCTAGATGGCATGTCACCACACTGTCTTATTAGAATCTGCATCTGGTCGTGCCGCAACCTGATGAATGATTCATTTTAATTAGAGTTCTGTTTGTTTATTATTAGTCCCGACTGATATTGCAAAGAACTCCAAATTCCAAGTGTTCTGGGTCCTGAATTGTTTAATCTGGTCCTGTACAAACACCCGCATTAGGGACAGCATTCGTAATAGCAGACCGAAGACTTTTTGAAGCCTTTTTTAAAAGAAAATCATCCAGTAGACCTCAGTGAGGTGGGTCCCTTAAAGGAAGGTGCTCTTCAGTCAGGGCTCTGAAGAACCATCAATCACACTGCTGTTTATACTTCAAAAGATTTAAATATTTAAAAATTGTGTATATGACTAATAATAGATACCAGTCATTACAGAGTTTTGATGTATCATGCTGATATAAATGTGACATGACAACTCTTCAAAGTAATTGAAAGTAAACTATGGTATTAATAATTTTTATTAACCTTCCCGGGTCACGTTCTCGATAATAAAATATGCACAGCAGGGTTCTCATTGTAGACCGAGTCTTAATTATGTGGGTAAAGACAGGTTTATTCATGCAAAATGCCTACTTATATATGTGTGTTCTCGACACACAGAAAAGAAACTGGACTCCATGGGCTTAGATTCTGTATTGTCCACACACAGACTTTTTTTTCCTGCTGCCTTTGGATCAGACTTTTAAATACAACCTTGGATCCTTGACTGTCATTTTTTTTTCTCTAGTAATTTTCTTAAAACTATTCGTGTTTCCATTTTAAGGAGCAATCAAAATCTGAAAACTGGCCTTTTGGGGAGGAGAATATTTCTCCCCCTCTACTCTCAAATTACTGCATGGCTTCACCATGCTTTAAGTATGAAATCAAAATGCAGACATTGACCTAATTCGAAACTCCTAATCAGTCATCTGATCGCTCTGAGGGACTTTTGACAGGTCAACTAAAATTTTGATAATGAACTGTTTTTATACGGAGGGAAGAAGAGAGGAAAAAAAAAGATGCTTTCTTTGTCAAAGGACTTCGTCTTGGCTTTTCTGAATTTTCAGGCAAGATTTCACTCACATAACAAGAAGTGACTCCCTTTCTAGTTTCCTTGGTAAACCATTACTTCTTTAATTATTATCAACCTTGTTCCAGTGTGATAAATTGCTAATTACTTAATACTCTAATCAGCGTTCATTCTTTGCACAGATAAACCATGACAGTGCCATTAATTTAAATAGTAATTTCACTTAACGGCCAGAACGGCACACCAGATTTTTATGCAGCATTTTCTGAAGACTGCATCCATCACTGTGATATTCTGACATAAAGATGTCTGACGTGCACTAACTCACTTAGGGAGAGCAGATGTTGCAGAGCGGGGCCTGGTAGTAATACCCATGGTGCATCACTTCAGCATGAATGAGCTGCAAAAGCTAGAGACAGGCAAGCTTCTGAAAGGCATGGCAACAACCTTTGACCCTTGCCTAATTTATCACACACAGCACTTGACTTTTGCACTTTGACACACAGAAGTCACAATCTTAAATATGCCCAAAGAAAACGGAAAGAGGCCGTGCATTATTGATGGCGTGGCCTGTTCTCCCAAAGTCTCCCCACAGCTTTTGTATGAGCGTGGAGACTGTCTTTGAACAAGACACAGAAATTATCAATATGTACAAGAGTAGATGTTTATATTTCAGGTCTGCATAGTCTTTCACAACATGTAGACAGTCAGTGGTGGCTTCTTTTATTTGCTATTGTAGACAAAGGAGAAGGGACTAGAAGAAACGTGCAATCATGTTACCAAATGTGGCACCAGCATTTGCTTACTGTCCAGGACTAATAAAGAAATATTTATCAATACATCTGATGATTTGTAAATAGTTTAAGTCTATAAAATGTGCTATACAGTCCCCAAAGACAACTGAGAAATAGACACTATACTCCCAAGGAAAAAAAAACAGTAAAGTATGAAAACCAGTCCTGGGTAGGAAAACTCATGCTAAGCTCTGGCCTTTAGTTTACATTTGTCATATTTTAGGACAAGGGGTTTGGCATTTCAGACATATAAGAGAGAAGAAACAGATTACAGTCAGTGTCTTCTGAACAAATTTAGAAAATTAGGGGAAAATACTAAAAAATAAAATTAGATAAAATAAAGAACATTCTTGCTTGTGGTAACCAGTAGATGGAGCTATGGTCACCACCACAAAATTAAGTTAACAGTTAAGCCTGATCCTCAAACCACTGCCATACATTTTATGTATGTATGTATGTATGTATGTATGTATGTATGTATGTATGTATATGTGTATGTATGTATTCAAAGACTTTATGGTTGTATGGAGGCATTTTGGGAGCAATCTCTTCCATATAGTTCTTCTACCTTAGACTTCTGTACTAACACCCCTCCTTTTGTGCTAAATTTAGAAATTCAGTCTTAAAAGGAAATATTCATTTTCTGGTGGCCTTCATTAATTTTTTCTCAAGGCAGAGTCTAGGGCATGTAAACCCAGAATTCTGCTATGAAATAATTTCAGAAGCATTTGCTATCAAAGACCCTATGGACCTGATTATATATAAGGAAACATAATCTAAAGTCAAGGAATGAGCTTGTTCACGGCTAACAGAAGAATCTGTTCTCTCTGAATGATGGAGAAGGTTTTAATTTTGTCTTTTAATGTTAAGGGATACATCAAGTCCAAGCTAAGATTAACAGCATACATGATAAAACCATATACGCAAAACGCTAAGGGAAAATGTGTAATAAAGAGTTTTAAAATATATTCGGGGAAAGTGGTTAAGAATACATATCCGAGGGAATGACTTTCATCCCAAGATACCTGTATACTGCTTCCACGCCGCTCATCTGCCCAGAG